GTGCACTAACAGGTGTCAGAGAGCAACAGCAATGACCACATAGATCTCTGGAATCATCGAATGTTTACAGTAAAGAGCGAGGCCATTAAGTCCGTTGAATCTGTGCTGGGGCTCGCTCCCCCACTGGAGCTCTCTACTCTAACCCCATTCCTGCTCTTTCCCCATGGTGTCTGTGCTGGGGCTCGCTCCCCCACTGGAGCTCTCTACTCTAACCCCATTCCCTGCTCTCTCTCTCCCCATCGTGTCTGTGCTGGGGCTCGCTCCCCCACTGGAGCTCTCTACTCTAACCCCATTCCCTGATCTCTCCCAGCTAGGACTACCCTACCTGTTAGGGCTTTGGCTGAAGGGTTAACAGGAGCCGAGTGGGATGACTCTCTTCCCCCAGTGACTGGTCGGCCCTTCCAGGTCCTGCTGATGAGCCGGGCCGGGCAGTGCTGTCATCAGCAGTGAGTGCCCTGGAATACTGCGGCCCCTCCTGGCTCAGGGAACCGGACTAGAGACCGTCACAGGTGGGGGGCTCCATTCTGACATTCAGTTACCAGGCAGGTCACCTTGGAGCCAGTTCAGCTCACAAGACGCTGCATTTATGCAGCGAAATACGCAACAGATGAAAGAGACTGTAAAAGAGAAAGGCAGATTAGGTGACATTTGGGATATTTCTGAGAAAAGGCCCCACCTACAGTATCAACTGACCTTCCTCTTTCTGATGTTGTGGATGAAAACGATTCTTGTTTCACTTCCTCACATCTGGAATCCCGATCAGAGCTCACATCATGCAATCTCTCCTGAGTGGAGAGAGAGAGAAATCTGGAAGGATTTTTACAGGTGAAACCAGACTGTGAGGAAGCCACATAATATAATAATCTTACATATAGTAATAGGACCTTTTGCATCAGGAGGACGTCTCAACATGTAGTGACTGTGACTAGCCGAACGCAGCAGCCAACTTAGCTATATATACACAGTCTCTCCCCATACAGAAAGAAGGAGATATTTCGTCTTGATAAGACGAGGCATCAAATGCAGGGATTATTATTAAGAGTCCTGTAGCTCAGCGCTCACCTCGCAAGCTGGAGGACCTGGGTTCGATTCCCGGGTCGGTCAGGGCGAAACCTTAGACAAGTTTCGTTACTCCACACGCCCCCGTTTATCCAGCAGTAAGTAGGAACTCGCCTGTTAGTCAATTAGCAGATCGCTTTCCAGAGCTAATAATCCCTTTAAAAAAAACTTGGTCACTTGATCCATGACTGTTTGCGGGACCCTCCTGTGTGCAGTTGGCTGCCATGTTTCGTTTAGAAAATACACAATCAATCCACTTTACAGTATTTCTGTGACACGTCTCAACAATGTGATAAAGCGCATTATATTCGTTTTCAAAGCCCTGCACAGCATTGCTCCTTCCTACCTCCGTGACCTGCTGAGCCCTGACTGACCTCTTTGCTCCCTCCGCTCAGCGGGTTCTGGCCACGTCCCCTCCCCATCTCATCATCAGCGGTCAGGTTGTCAGCCTCTCAGCTCCCACCCTTTGGAACTCGAAACCCGAGCCCCTCCACCTCTCCCCTCCACCTCGCACCTACATCTCGTCCCCTCCCTTACCTCCTTTCAAGGCCCGTCTCAAGACCTTTCTCCTCGACCACCCCTTTTGTCATCCTCCTCCCCCCACCCTCCCTGTCCTCCACCCCCTCCTGACCCAGACTCCCAGCTGGGGTGATGGAGATACAGAGTTAAAGTTTTGCCCCGCCTGGGAATCGAACCCAGGTCCTCTCGCTTGCGAAGCGAGTGCGCTAACTACTACCCTGCAGGACTCCCTGACTGTCCAGCGCCTTGGGATGTCCTCCTGATGTGAAAGGCGCTGTGTAAGTGTCATGTGTTGTTGTCTTGTTGTATATCGAATGCAAGGATCAAATAATTATTAAAATTAAGCGTGAGTTGTTCTCCAGGGCTGAGCCTGAGGGTGCGTCAGATCAGAGTCCAGGATGTTCAGTCATTGTGTCCTGGCTCAGCAAGATCGACGAAATATGAAACTACAGCGATCTCTGTTGGAGAAATGAAAGTGAAGCTGTCTCGTCCGGCCTGGCTCCTGCTCTTACTCAGCCAACTCGCTTCACACATGATCTATTCCTTTCAGTTCAGGAGCCAACTGATAGCATAGATACAGTGAGACCAGACTGTGAGGAAGGTACATAATATAATAATTTTACATTTGGTATAGCTCCTTTCATATTAAGAGGACGTCTCAAAGTATAGTGACTGTGCATTTGTAGGTGAACGTAGCAGCCAATTTATCCACATATACAGTCAGGCCCCAAAATGTCTACAGAAATGCAGACATTTTGACTTGATAAGACGAGTATCAAATGCAATGATTATTATTTGAGTCCTGTAGTTCAGTGGTTAGAGCACTCGCCTCGCAAGCGAGAGGACCTGGGTTTGATTGCCGGGCAGAGCGAAACCTTAGTTAGTCTCTACACGCCTCTGTTTACCCTGCAGTAAATAGGAACCTGGTTGTTAATCGATTGGTGGTAATAATCCCTCCCAAAAAAAAATAATAATTTGGTCACTCAATCCATGGCTATTTGTGGGACGTTGCTGTGCACAATTGCTGCCGTGTTTTGCCCACGGATGGCGTCATGGAATGTTCATACAATGGCGGAGCCTGATGCCGAGCCAGGGGAGGGGGAAGGTACTATAGACATGGTCGAAGAGGAAGGTCTTCACTGCGACCTGAAAGTGGCGAGGGAGGGAGCAAGGTGAAGGGACTGAGAGAGAGATTTGCACAGCTTTGTGGCATAATGGCTGAAAGTACGGCCGCCGATGGTGGGGTGGAGGGTCTGGGACAAGGAGGAGGCGGAGCCAGTTGAGCGGAGGCAGTGGGTAGTGATGTAGGGAGAGAGCAGGTTGGAGAGATGGGGCTATCAGGGCGTGGAGGGATTTAAATACAAGAGTGAGGATCTTGAAATCGATCCGCTCTGTGATAATAATAATAATAATCCTTGCATTTGATATAGCGCTTTTCACGTCGGGAGGACGTCCCAAAGCGCTTCACAGAACACACTGTAAAGTGAATTGACTGTATATTTGTGGGCGAACGCGGCAGCCAATTGCGCACAGCAATGTCCCACAAACAGTCGTAGATTGTAAATGACCAATTTATTATTGTTTTTTTGGTTTTGGAGGGATTGTTATTAGGCTCTGTGTGGAGTAAGGAAACTTGCCCGAGGTTTCGCCCTCTGCCTGGAATTGAACTCCGGTCTCTCACTTGCAAAGCGAGTGCTCTAACCACTGAGCTACAGGACTCCAGGGATAGAGAGTAAATGGAGTTTGACAAGCCTGGAGTAATGGAGATACAGAGTTATGGTTTCGCCCCGCCTGGGAATCGAACACGGGTCCTCTCGCTTGCGAGGCGAGTGCGCTAACTACTACCCTGCAGCACTCCACAATGTCCGCTTGAACCTTAACCCCCCCCAATCCCACCCCCTCCACTCCCCACCTCAACTCAGAGGCCAGAGGAATAGTGAGAGTGACAATTTGGAGGCAGATAGTAATGGTCAGCTGGTTTTACTGGAAAAACAGTGACTTTGTGAACAAGTAGCCCATCTCCCATGCACTGCACTGTGTTGGGCTGTGTTGTGTTGGGCTGTGCTGTGTTGTGCTGGGGTACGTGCTGTGTTTCACCTCACCTGCATCTCATCAGTTCTGGCCCAGGATCCACTGGCTTCCCATCACCAAATGGATCGACTTCAAGCTCCTCTCACTCTTGTGTTCAAGTTCATTCATCTCTGGCAACTCCCTCCCTCTCCGACCTCCTCACTCCCCAATCCACCACCCAGCACATCCACTCAACTGGTCCTGGCTCCTGCTCGTCCAACGCACCCTCCACCCTACCATCGGACGTTGCATTTTTAGCTATTACACCCCAAAACTCTGGAACACTCTTCCTCAATCCCTCCGCCTTGCCCCCTCTCTCCCCCTCTTTCACGTCCCGCCTGAAAACTTTCTTGTTTGACCATAATTACGGCCACCTTTCCCCCTTCCCCCGGCTCGGAGTCAGCCTCCCCCACTGTCAATCACTCTGAGGCGTTGTCCTGTGTGAAGAGCACTATATAAGTGCAAGTTGTTGTTGTTGTACTGGGGCTGTGTTGTGCTGTGGCTGTTTTAGGGCTGTGCTGTGACTGTATTATGCTGTGGCTGTGCTGGGGGGGTGCTGTGTTGTGCAGGGCTGTGTTGGGGCTGTGGTGTGTTGTGTTGTGACTGTGTCGTGCTGGGGCTGTGTGGTGCTGGTGCTGTGCTGTCTTGTGTTGGGACTGGGTTGTGCTGTGTTGGGGCTGTGTTGTGTTGGGGCTGTGCGGTGTTGGGGCTGTGCTGTGTTGTACTAGGGCTGTGTTGTGCTGTACTGTTTTGTGTTGGGACTGTGTTGTGCTGTGCTGTTTTGTGCTGGGGCTGCGTTATGCTGTATTGTCTTGTAGCTGTGCTGTGCTGGGGCTGTGTGGTGTTGGGGCTGTGCTGTGTTGGGGTTGTGCTGTGTTGTGTTGGGGTTGTGCTGTGCCATGTTGGGACTGTGCTGTGTTGTGGTTGTGTTGGGGCTGTGTTGTGTTGGGGCTGTACTGTGCTGTGGCTGTGCTGGGGCTGTGCTGTGTTGGTGCTGTGCTGTGTTGGGGCTGTGCTGGGGCTGTGCTGTGCTGTGTTGGGGCTGTGCTGTGCTGTGCTGGGGCTGTGCTGTGCTGTGCTGTGTTGGGGCTGTGCTGTGTTGGGGCTGTACTGTGCTGTGCTGGGGCTGTGCTGTGCTGTGTTGGGGCTGTGCTGTGCTGGGGCTGTACTGTGCTGTGTTGGGGCTGTGCTGTGCTGTGTTGGGGCTGTGCTGTGCTGGGGCTGTGCTGTGCTGTGCTGTGTTGGGGCTGTACTGTGCTGGGGCTGTGCTGTGCTGTGTTGGGGCTGTGCTGTGCTGGGGCTGTACTGTGCTGTGGTGGGGCTGTGCTGTGCTGTGTTGGGGCTGTGCTGTGCTGGGGCTGTGTTGTGTTGGGCTGTAGTGAAAGTGAAAGCTCCAGTTTCTCAGTAAACAGAAACTTATGCTCTGGGGTGAGGTCAAGGGGAAATCCAGAGCGGAGCAGAGCCGCCTCAGCCAGTGCTCAAAAGTCAGGATGGAAACAGAAACATTATCACAATGTGGTGACTGAGTTGAGAGCTGAGAGGGATCTGGGAGAGTCCGGGCTGAGAGCTGAGAGGGATCTGGGAGAGTCCGGGCTGAGAGGGATCTGAGCCGAGAGGCAGAGCCATGGGAGTCAGTAGCTCAGTCAGTTTGCAGAGAGTGGGCTGCTGTCTCCTCGCTTTCTTCCTCTTCCAGTGTCTGTGTGTGTCTCTCACCTTCCTCTACCTGAACCAGGAGCTCAAACAGGTACGAGGCAAAGGCACTCAGTGCGCGAGTGTGTGTGTGTGTGTGTGCGCGCGCTCTGGGACCCCACGCTGCATGAGGGGCAAGTTGTTGGTGTGTTGGTCTCTCACCTTTCTCTACCTGAACCAGGAGCTGAAACAGGAGAGAGATGTGCTCAGTGTGTGTGTGTATCTCTCTGACTGACTGAGGGGCTAACACCCACTCTGAGCTCCGGGCATTGAGAGGCTTAAAGGGTTAAGAAGACCTTCCTCTTCGACCGTACCTACTGTCACCTCCACACCCCCACACACACACCAATGCTCACACACCAACCAGCGGCTCTGCACTGCTCAATGTGACAGAGAGAGACAAAGGGAGAGAGAAACAGAGACAAACAGAGAGACACAGAGACAGATAGATAGACAGACAGAGAGAGAGAGACAAACAGAGAGACAGATAGGCAGACAGAGAGAGAGAGAGAGACAGAGACACAGAGAGAGAGAGAGAGAGAGATAGACAGAGAGACATAGACATAGAAAGTTTCTGCTCTATCTCCTCTGCCTGACCTGCCACTGGCTCTTATGTTATTAATAGTAATAATAATCCTTGCATTTGATATAGCGCCTTATTACATGGCGCTGGTTTGACTGCATATTTCACCGCCTCTGACAAAGCTCCAAGTGTAAACAGTGGAGACTTGACAGCTCAGTGACTTTCCTATAGCCGGGCGCGATGTTGCTTTGCTGTTGATACTCTCCCTCTATCCCTCCGTCTCGCCCCCTCCTTCCGTATCTTCAGGTCGCACCTGAATAACTTCCTCCTCGACCGCGCTTACAGTCACCTCCCCCCTCCCCCGGCTTGGCCCCGTGCGCCATCACTGTCCAGGGCTGTGGGACACTGGCCAGCGCGAGGGGCGCGATCCAAACACAAGTTGTCGTTGATAAACGCTGCTCGTTTGTCGCCGGCGACAAATCAACCGGGAAAATTTCACTCTGTTGATGGTGAACCTCGTGTGGTTTTAATTATTGTAATAATTTTTAATGTTATTAATAATAATCCTTGCATTTGATGTAGCGCCTTAACACATCGTTGAGACGTCTTAAATCGCTTCACGGGATACACGGTAAAGTGGAGTGACTGCATTTTGTCGGCGAAACTTAAATTATAGTTACGGTGTGTCTTACTCCCCCCACTGCCCCCTTTGGTTTCGTGCATAGAAATGATGTGTTCCTCTTTCTCTGACCGTGACTTTGGTCACCCTCCTACACCCCAGCCCCTCCATTCCTTCCCTCCATCTTTCCCTGATCCCACCCGCCAGCTCAGGTGCAAATCCTTGATTGTCCAGTACCTCGGGACGTCCTCCCGACGTGAAAGGCGCTGTGTAGATTTGTTGTTGTTGTTGTGTTCCTAAAGTCTCATAGTTGGGTTCAGTCAAGGAAGTTGTGGGCAGACAGACAGACACAGACAGACACACAGCTCAGGTGTAGCTACACAGGGTGTTGGCGTCAGCAAACTGAAGGGGGAATTGGAGAGCGATCCAGCGAGGATTAAAAGATATGAGAGAAAGAGAGAGAGAGGAATGATGATGATGGTTGAAATGGTGGCCTGGCCCTATGCTCTCTTGTGGCCTGCACATTCCTGAGTGACTAACAACAGAGCTGGAAACATACAGAGCTTGAGAGAGTAATGGTGGGAGACCAGCTGCCAGATCTGAGCTTGGGCACCAATGGCACGAAGGGTCCCCAGAAACAAAATTACCAGTGCTGGCATAGCAGCGCCTGAACAAGCCGGCGTGAGGTCAGTGTCCGGACGTGGCTTCTTTGGTATAAACTAGCAGTTATACAAAACACAAAACTCTGACCCTGAGCCAAAGTGTATTAAAAACAAAACAAGCTGGAGTTTAGAGAAAGGAAGAGAGCTGAACATTGTTGGCTTTGCTCACGCTAGGAACTCAGACAGTCAGGCACGTACACACAGGACAGGACAGCCTTTTTTTGACCAAATGAGGAAAAAAAAACTTGACTCTTAACAGCCCCTTATCACCCTGAGCGCTCAAATTGCTTCCCGAGAACCTTCCTCTTCAAACCACGTCTTTGGCCACCCTCCTACCCACACCCTCCCTGCCCTCCCCTCACCTCCTGATCTCAATCTCCAGCTCGGATCCAAATCCGTTGGGTCAACCTCCCAACGTGAAAGGCGATGTGTAAATGTAATTTGATATTGTACATAAAATGCAAGGAATATTATCAATATTAAGTGTAATTTGCTCTCCAGGCTGAGCCTGGAGTGTGAGGTGTGTCAGACTAGAATGTACCAGCGTGCTGCGTTCAACCCTAGCGCTGTGCAGCGCTCCGAGATGCTATCCTGAGTTAAGGGCACTGTGTAAATGCAAGTGGAGTCTGATAGCCTAGTGGTTGGTGCACTCGCCTCACAAGCGAGAGGACCCGGGTTTGATTCCCGGGTGGGTCAGGGCAAAACCTTACGTAAGTTTCCTTACTCCACACGCCTCCTTTTACCCAGCAGTTAGTAGTTACCTGGTTGTTAATCGATTGGCGGATCGCTTTCTGGGGGTAATAATCCCTAAAAAAAAATGGTGACTGAATCCACAACTGTAAGTCATTGTGGCTCAGTCAGACCGACAGAATATGAAACCACAGCGATCTCTATTTGCGAAATAAATGTGAAGCTGTCTCCCCGGCTTGGCTCCTGCTCTTACTCAACCAACTCGCCTCCCAGATATCAGATATCTTATAGAATTCTGTAAGATGTTTCATATCACAGCTGACATCTCTGACAATATGGTATATACACTTGGTATATGGGGCTCAACCACATAACTGTCCTGTGTTTATAATAATCCTTACATTTGATATCACGCCTTATCACATAAACGAGACATCTCAAAGCGCTTCACAGGATATAGTGTAAAGTGTAACGACTGTGTATTTTGTAGGTTAAAAACTCACCTTTCTTCCTAAATCTTCTTGAAACTGGGCAGGTCAGATGCTGTCCAGTGCTCACTGGAGACGTGTAAATAAAACCAGAGAATGTATTTAACTGAATCTCAGAGAAAATTAGCATGGAGTAGGACCTGGGCCATGTACGGAAAGGTCCCAACACCAAGGGCAAGCATAGTTTGCCATCTAGTCCTCTTGACATGAAAGGTGCTAGATAAATGCAAGTTGTTGTTGTTTGAGGTTAAAGTAGTTTTCTTGGTTCTCCAATGGGGCACAATAACAACAAATTATAATTGTGGAGTGCCTTTCATGTCAGAGGACGTCCCAAGGCGCTGGTACAGTTTGGGTGATCACACATTCCAGACAGGGCTCCCCCCAAAACAGGAAGTTATCCCCACATCCCTTGTCTGAATTTCAGAGAATGTCAGACTGTCTGTTTGGAGTGAGAGGAAGTAGCAGAACTGGGAACACATAGGAACAGGAGGAGGCCATTCAGCCCCTCGAGGCTGTTCTGCCATTCTATAAGATAATGGCCGATCTGTACCTCAACTCCAGTTACCCATCTTTGCCCCATACCCCTTGATCCCCTGATCTCACAAACATCTACCCACCTGAATCTTGAAAATGTGAATAGCTCCAGCATCCATGGGCTTTTGGGGGAGGGCGACAACAGTAGAAACTGGAACAGACATAAGAGTAAAGGAGGTTTGTTTACAGGAATTGCCGCAGTGTTGGTGTGATCTCTGCCCCTGGAGCTAATTATCCCCTAGAATTCCCTTCCTCCCCGCCCTGCTTTGCTGGTCAAGGTACTGATACTGAGCCTCTGCCTCTGGAGCTGAACTACAATCACATTCTGTACAATGTAAATACTACAAACTTCCAAAGACTATTCTTTGTTACACTGTGAATGCCAAAGTGGAAACTGCATTCAATTATAATGATAATAATAATAATTCTTGCATTTCATACAGCGCCTCATCACATCATTAAGATGTCTCAAGCGCACCACAGCAACCTGGAAACTATAAAGCGACTGTGTATTTTGTGGACAAAACGCGGCAGCCAATTATGTGAAGCAGTGTTTCACAAACAGCCGTGGATTCAGTGACCATTTGTTTTTTTTTGAGGGATTATTACCCTGGAAAGTGATCTGCCAATTGACTAACAACCGGGTTCCTACTCACTGCTTGGTTAAACAGAGGCGTGTGGAGTAAGGAAACTTGCCTAGAGTTTCGCCACTGCCTGGGAATCAAACAGGAGCAGGTAACCAGACTTCCTAATGTGAGCGAACATTTGGTTCTGTGCCCGTGTGTAATGTGATCCTAAAGGGAGCTAAACATATTGGAAAAAAAAGCAACTTATTTAACAGTAAAATGAGAGGTGGTTTTCTCACACTTTGGGAATGTTCAAGGTGTTGGAAATATACATTCTTGTGGGATTCCCAGTTCTTTAGCAAATTTCTTTCGGTCATGAAATGTCCTCTTAAGTTACATCCTCGTGACATCAGCAAAACCTCCCAAAGCGAGTCACGGTAAGAGCACAAAAATCCTCTGTCAAAACGTAACTATTTCTTCAGACTCTGGAAATCCCTACTCCGCACCCCTCTGTTTACTCAGCAGTAAGTAGGAACCCGGTTATTAGTCATTTGGCAGATTGCTTTTCTGGGGGCAATAATCCCCTTCAAAAAATTTTTTAAAAATGTGGTCAATCGATCCACTGTGCGCAATTGACTGCCGCATTTCATCCACAAAATATACGGCCAATTCACTTCACAATATATTCTATGAAGCGCTTTGAGATGCGTGGAAGACATGATAAGGCTCTGAATCAAATACAAGGATTATGATTATCCCATTGTAAAGGCAAAATGGAATGTGGTTAACAGTCTGTGAGAACCCCTGTTATGCCACCTGTTAAATAGCACTGTTGTTATCATCTGAATAGAGATTAGATCCATCGACTGAATAAAATACAGCCACAAACACATTACATGTGAACGTTCTGCCAAACAGGAAGAAGTTTGGTAAAACGTCAGGCAATTGTCTGTCGTGTTGGCTTACAAACAGA